CCAAGGCCACATTGGAGCTCTTTGTTACGGCTTAGGGTTTATTAGAGGAAATGAGGCAACTGCTTGAGCTATAAAACAGTGTACTGAGTACTATCTATGTTTCGACTCAAGTTCTTTAACAAATTTAAAAATGAATAAAGTAACAAAAACTATAAAACACAAAAAACTACAGTCATCACCAAGTTCGCTAAACCTATCATTCACCAATATTCGTGGTCTTCGAAGTAACTTTTCTTCTGTTGAGTCTTATCTCTTGCAAAGTTCACCAGACCTACTTGCTCTTTGTGAGACTAATTTGAGTTCAGCTGTCTCATCTTGTGATCTTAGTGTTGATGGTTATCTTCCTTTAATTCGTAAAGACTCCAATAGTCACATGCTTGGCCTGGGCATTTACATTCGTAAGAGTTCACCCATTTGTCGGGAAACTAGGTTTGAATCCACAGACTACTCTTTTATGTGCTTTTGTTTAGCACCACTTCACTTTATCACCTTTCTCTTTGTTCTATATCGCTGTCCCTCATCTCAAGACTGCACTCTTCTTGATGTTATTTCTGATTATATTGACCAAGCCCTCATTCTTTATCAATCAGCCAATATTGTTGTTGTCGGTGACTTTAATGCTCATCACACTGAATGGCTTGGCTCTAGTGTCAGTGACTCTGCAGGCATTAAGGCCCACAACTTTTGTCTTTCTCAATCCCTAACTCAAATAGTCAATTTTCGAACTCGCATCCCGAATCATTTACCTGCTCTACTAGACTTATGTCTTGTTTCTGATCCTAGTCAGTGCTCAGTTTCTTCACACTCACCCTTAGGTGCGTCTGATCATGGTTTAGTCTCTCGAAAAATAATTATCTCATTCTTCTTTACCATCAGAATCCCCCTATCATTGTACATCTTACAACTACCTTAAAGCTGACTGGGACTCTCTCCGTGATTTTCTTCGTGATGGCCCCTGGGTAAAAATCTTTCGTCTCCCTGTTGACAAATGTACTTCTTACATAACTTTGTGGATTCAGACTGGCATGGAATCCTTTATTCCCTCTCGACGATTCCAGGTCAAGCCTCACTCTTCTCCATGGTTTTTCTCACATTGTGCTGCTGCAATTGCGAATCCAAACCATTACTTCCATATCTATCAGCAAAACAATTCTCCAGAAAACAGACGTCTGTTTATTAAAAAGGTTTTGTCTAACGCCAAAGCTTGCTATTCTCAGATCATGAAATCTCGTATTTCATCACAAAAATTAGGCTCTCGCGACTTCTGGAGAATCTTTAATAGTATCAGTAATAAGGGCAAGTCTGTAATTCCACCTCTTTTGTATGGTTCAGACTTTGTCACCTTACCTAAAGACAAAGCTGAATTGTTTGCCAAGAACTTTTCATCAATATCATCTCTTGACTCCAGTAGTTGCGCTCTACCTGATATAGCCGTCAAACAGGTTGATCCATTGCTCGACATTCGTATCACTCCAGCTTCTGTATCTAAAGTGATTTCCCGCTTAGACTCTTCTACAGCTTGCGGCCCGGACAACACACCCGTTATAGTCTTGCAGAAGTATTCTCCGGAGCTGTTGTCTATCCTTTCAAAACTATTTAACAAGTGCTTATCAGAGTCTTGTTTTCCAGCCTGCTGGAAAGCAGCATCTGTTATCCCTATTTTTAAAAATTCTGGAGAGCGATCTGATTCATCTAACTACCGTCCCATTAGTCTTCTTCCTATCATAAGCAAGGTTTTTGAATCTTTAATTAACAAACACTTAATCTCTCATCTCGAATCTCATAACCTACTTTCTGATCATCAATATGGATTTTGATCTTCTTGTTCTACGGCTGATTTGCTATCAGTAAAAACCGATAGGTTTTATCGCGCATTAGATAAAGGTGGAGAGGTTAAGGCCATTGCTCTTGACATTTCTAAAGCGTTTGATAAGGTTTGGCATGCTGGTCTCCTCCATAAGCTTTCTTCTTACGGTGTATCTGGAAACATCTTTAAGATTATTGAATCCTTTCTTTCCAATCGTAGTATAAAAGTTGTCCTTGATGGACAGCACTCTTCTTCTTATTCTGTAACCTCAGGGGTTCCTCAAGGTTCAATCCTTGGCCCTATACCTTTCCAATCGTAGTATAAAAGTTGTCCTTGATGGACAGCACTCTTCTTCTTATTCTGTAACCTCAGGGGTTCCTCAAGGTTCAATCCTTGGCCCTATACTCTTTTTAATTTACATTAACGATCTTCCAGATATTCTCACATCTAAGGTGGCATTGTTCGCTGATGATACTACCATTTATTCTTGTCACGATAAGAAGCCAACTCCCTCTGATTGGTTGCAGGGGGCATCTGAGCTTGAAAAAGAGCTCACTTCTGATACAGCATGGGGCTCACAGTGGCTGGTGAACTTTAATTCAGATAAAACTCAATTTTTTTTGGCCAATCGTTATTGCAATAATTTAGACCTTCCTATATTTATGAACGGTAATGTACTCAATGAGTCTCCTACCCTTCACCTTCTAGGATTAACTCTTACTTCTAATCTTTCTTGGAAACCTTATATCAAATCCGTTGCAAAATTAGCATCTGCTAAAGTTGCTTCTCTTTATCGAGCTCGTCACTTTCTTACTCTGGATTCTATTCTCTATCTCTATAAATCTCAAATCCGGCCTTGTTTGGAATACTGTTGCCATATCTGGGGCGGATCTTCTAATGATGCCCTTTCTCTTTTAGACAAGTTGCAAAAACGCATTGTAAACATAGTTGGACCTGCTCTTGCAGCAAACCTTCAACCTCTGTCACATCGTCGTAATGTTGCTTCTCTTTCTCTTTTCTACAAATACTATAATGGGCACTGCTCGAAAGAGCTAGCGTCTCTTGTGTCATCTACTAAAATTCATTCTCGTGTTACTCGTCATTCAATTAAGGCTCATCCTTTTTCTGTTACTGTTCCTAAGTGCTCCAAAAACTCTTATTCGTCTAGTTTTTTTCCTCGAACATCAGTTCTTTGGAATTTGCTTCCTTCATCTTGCTTTCCTGATTCATATAATTTGCAACCTTTTAAGTCGTCTGTCAATCGTTATCTTGCTCTACAATCTTCATCTTTTCTCTTCCAGTAACTTCCAGCACTAATTAGTGGTTGCTGCAGCCTTGTTGGAAGCAAAGATAATTAAAAAAAATATATACGTAAAAGCAATCTTTCTCTTACCGTTTTTAATGATTTAATTACTTTGAAACCTACCAATAAATACTCTCTAAGAACAAACAACCTTCCATATGTCGAACAAATTTTAACCAATTTTGCATTGATTATCGTCCACCCCATCTCTGGAACAAAACTGTTTTGCCTAATTTAAATTTTGATCTACCTACTTCTTTGCATCTTTTTAAATCTTTTTCTCTCCCGTATTATCAAAATTTGACAATAATATTTATATTATGGAAATATTTTTTAAACTTTATTATTTATACTACAAAGTGATATATGTGTGTATATTTTATTTTTATTTTGTTGTTGTTATAGTTACTTTATAACCTAATATGTTGTTTAAACTAGTATAAGGTTGTGACGATCTTACTGATCTTCTTTCAGATACCTATTTTTTCAAATGTTAGTAGTATTTGCTTTTTTTATAATTTGTTTTAATTTTTTAATTACTCATTATATTGTAAAAACGAATTAACAAATGAAAACTAAAATATTAAAAAAAAAATAATCTATACACGTGGGTTTTACAACCAATTTAAAACAAGTTGGTGCTTTAATTAAATTACTACATTGATAAAGGCAGAGAAACTCGTTCATTATTTTATCATGAGGTTGTAAATTAAAATCTCCGATAATTATATAATCATTATATGATTGCAAGTAAAAATCAAGAATCCTCTAAGGTTGACGAAGAAATAGTCATTTTTCTGATCAGGTGGCTTATAAATGGCTATAATTAGCCATTTCCGCATTCTTAGTTTAATTTCAAAATGTAAAATTTGAACGTCAGTGGGTATGACTACGCCATTTAATTTTTTTGAGGTAATGTTATCATTAATATACTTAAGAAGTCCTCCATTTTGATGGGATATATCAAGGCGATAGGGAGTTTTGTAAACTGTATATAAAAATTAGATAATAGAATTAATATTGATGAAAGCTAGATTAACATTGTGAGGATATTTAGACCTTAGTTTATCTAAATCAGACTGACTAAATATGACTATTTTCTTCATTGGGGTTAAGTAAGGTTGTTTGAAGATCATAAATCAAAGTTGGGGGGGGGGGGGTCAATATCAAATAGACTAAAATCTTTGTAAAATAATTGTGAAGCAATAATTTTTCATTTGAATAACTAAATAGCGTAATGTAATTTAAGAGAATCATTTTGCTCTTTGGAAAAACAATTCTCTCAAAATAATTTAGTCAACAATTATTAAGTTTTTCGAACATTCAAAGACAGTTAGTTGAAAATGAATCATTTAAGTATTCGTTAACTACTTTAAAAAGGCAATTTATTTTCGATTTGAGTCACCTCTTTTGAAATAAGTTTTAATTCATTGCAATTTTTTTCCAAACCTTATGTAATCGATTTTTAAAGTTTTAATTTTTACATTTGTACCGTTTTAGAATTTTATCTTGGTACGAAATTTAATATTATACTCATATATGTTTAAGTACTACCAAGTGTATATACAAAATTATTCACATTACAGAGGTTAGTTATTATAAGCGTTAATTTTATTTACAATTTTTAATCCGTAATTTAAAACAGAACTAGAAGCCGTAGCTTAAACTACCATATGTACACAGAGCTCAGACACCGATAGGTGTTTTTTAACACGATAACCTTTTTTATGATGGAGTAAAAAAGATTTATATTATTCTGAGGAAAAATAAAACATTATAAAAAAAAATAATTTGATTATTTATCTTTCTACTTTAGTATACACTAAGAAATAAATAATTCCATTCAGATATTTTATAGTTGAGTATACACTAAGAAATAAATAACTCCATTCAGATACTTTATAATTTAGTATACACTAAGAAATAAATAACTCCATTCAGATATTTTATAATACAATATTGATATATAGTTTTATATATAATTTAGATTCAAACACTCTATGCCTAACTCATTGTAATAAATATCAAAAAGTTATAAAATGACTATTTGATATTTATTAATCAGATAAATATAAAGGCTTTTTGTTAAATAATTTATTCTATTTACAATTCATATGGTAATATATTTAAAAAGTTGACTGACTGTCTTAAAATATTTGGATACCAGTGGTATTCTGTATCAGTCTCAAAATAAGTCAATATAAATTTAAAGTAACGGAATAAAAAACGCCATAGAGAAAAAGTCAAATCAGCTATGCGGTGATTCGGAAACATGGCGTAACATGAAACATAAACATCGTTTACAATAATGGTTCCTTCTTCGGTTAATGGCGAATAAACTCCATATTCCGACACGTGACTTACTTTTGATACACGTGTTTTATTAAAAAATTTGTTTTCAATGTTGAATGAGGTAATATAAATGTTTGGTTGAACATCTTTAGCATAAATTGCTCCTTGATTCAACGTAAAAATTAAATGATGTGAACTTAATACAAGATTTTTTCCGTCCGTAGTTGCTATTTTGATATAGTCATTCACTTTAACTGTTTTTTGTTTGTGTAAAAACATTGTAACTTCGCTATACAAAATTTTCCCATAAGGGCTCATGGTTATAACTGAATCTCCTACTTTTAAATCCCGCATCATAATTTTCTTTCCAGATTTATGACGAACGTATGCTGTTTCCGGAAAACAACGACTGTAAACTTTATTCTCCTCTATTTCTAAAAATATGTTCAAATAAATTTAAACCTTTTAATATTATTTCTTAAAGATTTAACATTTTATCTAGAGGTTTTAAGTTTGAAAACTAGTATTATTTAAAACGAGTACAATGTACAACGTTTAAACGAGTAAGAGTACAATTGGTATTGTTTAAAATAACTAAAATGATACAAAAAAATGCTTACTGTTGTTTTTGCGGCAAGATACATGAACGTGGTTGTGTCTAACGCTGACGTATGAGAATTTGGCTTGGTAATATGCCAAACCTGCTAAACGTTGTAGCTGTTTGTTATCATTTAGTGCTAATCGAGGTTTTTTTGGATCTGAATTAGCTAGCCTCAAATCAAATGCCCTTCCTTCTAAATGGAGGGATAATGATCCCCGGTTTTTTGTTGCATCTGATAAATAGCCTTCAATAACATACAGCTTGTACTCTCCAGACCAGTGATGTTGAACTGATTCGGAAAGTAACAATAAAGCTTCTGTACAAACCTAAACGAAAAATATTTTTTAATAATATAAATACAGCATATACACAAAGTAAAAATAATTAATATATGCACTTATAATTCAAGCATATCCACACGTTAGAGTCAAAATTGAAATTCTTTTTTTATTTCCAAATTTTTCTATTTTTTCCACTTTGTTCAACAATAAGATTAAAAACCTTACAAAACCTTATTTTAACTTTTAATTTAGGCTTTAATTCTTTCATTAAATTGAGTTGATATAACAGATACAAATAGTTACCGTAGGTATGATTGTACGCAAACTTCGTTGCATACAAAGGCGGATCCATTGGGAGGAGGGGGTTGATGGGGGCGATCGCCTCCCCTTATAATGTTTTGAAATTTTTATTTTTGTAAATTTTTATATTAAACACAGCAAGTTGTTTAAAAACGAAATCATATAGTTAGGTTGTTTAAATGAAATTACAATTTTAATAAAATTCAAAATTGTGTGATTGCTGGCTTACAAATCATCATATCTAAAAATCCCCCCCCCCCCCTTTCACCTTATTAGATCGTCTGCATCCCCCAAATCGAAAATAAATATAAAATTGCCACCAAAACTTACGACATGGTATGGATCCGCCCTTGGTTGCATATCATACTAACAGTAACTATTGTTGATAAATTTATAAATAATTACAAGTATAGAAATTTTATCTTTTTAAAATGTATAAAAAGATGTATAGAGAGATGTATAAAGAGTATAGATGTATAGAGAGATGTATAAAGAGATGTATAGATGTATACCTTTTTAAAATGTGTAAAAAGCATAAAAGCATATTTGAAAAAATATATATGATCATAAACTTGTAAAAATGCCCACTTTATTAACTTTCAGAATAAAAAAACATTTTTTTTATGCAATGAAATAAGAATAATTTTGTTATAAAACCAAGATTTTTTTCAAATCTTTTATAAAATCTTTTGAGTACCAGGCTTCTTTTGAGTACCAGGCTGACCTACTTTTGAAGAACTTTTTTTTTTTCCAAAATATTTGGGACCCTCTAAATAATATCTCCTTCCAAACTGTTTATACAAAACAAGTTTATACTGCCTTCTTGGTTTTAAGGATATTTGTTTTTTTCTTATTTTTGATTAATACTTATTAAACAACGAAACAAATGTAATAAAAAAAAAAATTCACAAAACTGAAAGCAGCGATAACTTTAGCCAAAAAAAGTCAAAAGAAAGTCTTTTTTGAACAATCATCTCTCTTGTTCCTGTGTTTTCAAAAATATTTAAAAATTTGTAATAGAATTTATAATTATGACATTGAAGACTTTGACACACACACAAAAATTGATTTCAAACAACTAAACATGTTATTACTAAACCAACCGATAAAAAATCTGTTTTCTTTAAAAAAAAAGGTGAATTTGTTTTTTAGAGTATTTACAGAATTGTCAAAAATTTATGATAACCCTTTCTACCTGACCAAGAGAAACCGTATGGTGGGCATAAAAGTCAAGATAATAAGAATATAAATTTTGAAATCTATTTTATCGCGGAAAAAAAAATCACGTTTTACTTTATATTATAAAACAGCAAGGAGGTAAATGACAGCTTTTCTTTTTTATGCATTTTTAGTGCATTTGAAAAATTGAAAAAATTAATAAATAAAAACAAAACAGTAACAACAAATTGTACTAAATTTATGAAAAATATATTTTTCAGTTTTCTGTTGAGCAACTGATATTATATGTGCTTGCTATTCAAGTTGACTTCGCACATTGGTAGTTGTTTTCCATATTCTGGAAGCGTTGTGGGTCTCTTATTTCTTTGCCAGTGTTGGTTGCAGTGATGGCGCAGGATGGGTGAGAAGATAAAAGGATGGCTTTGATTGAGCTTCAGATGTCTTTCTTGACAGATAAAGTAGTCACACTGTTGTCATCGTGTGGATGGTCTTACATGAATATAACAGCTTTGGTAAAAAGACCTCCTTTTCAACTTACTTACGTAATATTGATCGACAACCTTCACAGATTCTAGTAAGTAATAAGTGTACGTTCATCTTCAAAGTAATTTTTTTTTTTTTAAAAGAAAATAAAGTTTGACTTGCTAGTCGAGAGCATTTCTTTATGCACAAAAAATAAACAGTTTTTTGGCATTCGTGATGAAATTTTGCTTTAATAGGCATTTTAAGAAACACAGTTATCATTTCTTACTTAAAGTGGAAACCAACTGTTTAATGTTCTTTTTTTTTTTTTTTTGTCCTGAAAAACTAACAAACAATAAATCTAAAATTAATTACTAGTTTAAGCCAATAGCGCTTCTTGCTATCTTTTAATGATAGATGTTATATTGTTACATTTGTTTATTTTATATAGTTAACGATATTGCTAATTTTTTTTAAAATTAAACTTTATATTTACGAAATTTATCAAGGAGCTTGGGGACAAAACGTATTAGTCTTCTTCTCGCTCCTGCTACTTATATATCTTTTTAGTAACTTACGGATCGTATTTATTTACATAAAAAAAAAAAAAAAAAAAAAAAAAAAAACTTGATGATTGCAAATCATCAATTTTTTTTTTTTTTTTTTTTTTGTCATGTCATGACAGAATGTTCAGTCATGACAGAACTGTTTTTCGGAAATTAAAATATATACAGAACGGTTTTTCGGAAATTAAAATATATATTTAAATGAGTATAAAAGTGCTTTGTTGTTTGACATTTTTCCAGGGCAAAAAAAAAAAAGAAAATTAAAATATTTTTTAGAGAAACCCGTTGTGGAATAATGATTACACTCAAAAAATAAAAATAAATTATTTTGAATGCTGTAAAAATACAACAAAAATGAAAAGCTTTACCTTGTTGGTAGTCACATTTACCTTGTTACTATTATATATTAAAATATTATTTTAATTATCATTATTATGTTATTCATTTTCCGAGACAAAATAGTTAGATTTCAAAATTTATATATTTGTGATCCTGAAATCATGGGCTTTTATGCCTATCGTGCCGTTTTTCTGATTCAGCTGCGTAGGCCTATCATGTATATTTGGTGTTTATTGATTACTAAAATATTATTACTAAAAAAATGTGATCATTTATATCGAAGACTTTAGACAGCCATTGATACAAATATTCACATATTTTTAGTTTTAGGGTGGAATGCAATAAGCGAACTTGAGTCAAGCTTGACTAGAACTTTACATTGCAACCAATAGCGACAGAGTATGGGTTTTCCCCCCAAAAAATAATCTGCCGCTATTGGTTACAAAGTAAAGTTCAAGTCGAACTTGACTCAAGTTTGCTTCTTGCATTCCACCCCTAATCCTAAAGCATTACAACATTATATCACGGTGATTTTTTTTGCCTTAAAAATTCCCATAGCTTTATTTTATGAAATACGAAATTTGGTCCAAAACGTACGCAGTTTTTTAATTTTCATGAAAAGTTTCAAAAAATTACCATATTTATCATTTAGGACTATATATATATATATATATATATATATATATATATATATATATATATATATATATATATATATATATATATATATATATATATATATATATATATATATATATATATATATATATATATATATATATATTTTAATTATTCGCCTTCCCAAGGCCCGAGGGGGCCACTACAGTCGAGGAGGCTACTTCTTTTTTTTTTTTTTTTGTTTATATATATATATATTTTTTTTGTTGTAAATCGTGGTACAACCCTCTCTCAACTCTTTAACTCCGAAACACGAACCTTGACAATCAAGACCGCTGCTCGGAGAAATCAAGTTGAGCGCGGTACTTCCAGGGACATGGTGGGTGTCGAACTCCGAACCTCTCGCTTACAAAGCGAGCGCTCTTACCACTACACCACTACCGCATAATTTTATGTATTTTTGTATATTAGGTATTTTTAAGTGTAAATATATATCGTGTGGTTTTTTATAAAACTGCTCTTTAAAAGCTATATAGATATTGAAATTCAATTTATTTAAAAAACTAGTACTAAAACTAGAAATAATCATCTGGATAGACTAAATGACGGTTTTCCTAACTATCTATATTATTACTTTCAAAGATAAATTTTAATTGGATCTCAACTTCCAGTTTAAAACCGCCGTGTATAAGTTAAAAACTCAAGATGTTGTATGCAGAGTTCCAAAAGCATCAATCATGGGGTCTTTACTATTTTAAATAAATATCATTGATGATAAAGCATCATTGTTTGTACAGCCACGCACGCAAAGCAAATGATTATTTAAAAATACTGTAAAATCATTCTATTGTAATTAATTACACAAAGGTCCCCGATATATTAAAACTTGATTCAATCCAGATAACATTTATATGCAAACATAAAACAACTTGCTACCAATGCATCTTCAAATTTTTGTTGTATTTCTTTCGAAATTTTAACAAAGAGGATCATAATATAGAGGAATATAAAATGAAGGTATATAATATGAAGGAATATAGAGGAACACCTTATAGAGAACTATAATATAGAGGAACTATAATATAAAGAAATATAATATATAGGACTGTAATATACAGGCGCTATGAGAGGGGGGTGCAGTCGGTGCACCGCACTAGAGCTCATAAACAATATATATATATATATATATATATATATATATATATATATATATATATATATATATATATATATATATATATATATATATATATATATATATATATATATATATATATATATATATACATATTTAAAAAAAGTGTTTTTGTTGTATTTGATTTGCGTAAAGGGTTTTGACGGTTTGAACTCGGATTACTTCAAACCGTCTTTTGACGTAAATGTTTTTTAATTCTGAATATTTCGTTTTTATAAATAGTAGTGGTAAGTTACTAATAGAAAGAAAGACATTACACCGAAGTGGAAGTAGTGGTAAGTTACTAATAGAAAGAAAGACATTACACCGAAGTGGAAGTAGTGGTAAGTTACTAATAGAAAGAAAGACATTACACCGCAATTATAAAACTTCAAATAAATGTAAAA